CTGGAAACCTGGGTTCCTTTCCCAGCCAAAGCAGCTCACCACCCATCTACCAATTGTGGCTTGTGTGTTGTTATGACACTGAACGTCAGATGGATATTGGCTGAAAGCAGAGAATACTAAGAAGATGTTTACCTGTGCTTTATTGATTATGCAAAAGCTTTTGACTGTGTGGGTCATGAGAAGCTATGGCTAACATTGTGAAGAATGGTATTCCAGAATATTTCATTGTGCTCATGAGGAACCTGTACACAGAACAAGGAGAGACTGAATGGTTTAAAATCATGAAAGATATGCATCAGGGTTGTATATTTTCACTATAATTATTCAATCTGTATGCTGAGCAAGTAATCTGAGAAACTGGATTATATGAAAAAAAGCATGATATCAGAAGTGGAAGAAGATTCATTAACAACCTGCGATATGCAGATGATACAACCTTGCTTGCTGAAAGCGAAAAGGACTTAAAACACTTACTGATGAAGGTCAAAGACCACAACCTTCAGAGTACCTGGGCACAAGGAAATTTGGGGAATAGCTAATAGGGTGTATCTAAAACATTATCCCCAGGGTGTGGCTGAGGTGCCCAGAGCCCATGCGCCATTTGCCTCTGTCTTGATCAAACTTCCACATTATCCACAAATTGCTATTGAGCTGATTGTGATGCACAGCATCCCCACCCATGGCTCTTCAGAATAGAACTGTTTTCCATAATTCAATTTTCCAAGAACTTTTTGAAGCTCCTTCATATATATATATATATATATATATATATATATATTTTTTTTTTTTTTTTTTTTTTTTTGAGGTGAGTGAGAGGGATAACAATATACACAGCAAGACATATATCAATTCAATAATTTCTCTATATATGATTCCATTGTTGTTAAGTGCCATCGAGTTGATTCTGAACCATCGCAACCCTGTATAATGTTTCTGAGGAGCTGTTGGTGAGCTTGAACCGCCAACCTTTCAGTTCAAACCAACCTTGTAGTCCAGCACATTAAGACATAGTGCCACACCAGGACTCAGTAGCATTGGTAATATTCTCCAAGTTGTGCTAGCTTTCTTGATATTTTCCCAAATTTTTTCACCTTTATCAACACCAACACACTGACTCCTAAGCTTCTAATTTCACCTTTCAAAGTGGCATCTTTGCTTTTAACAATTAAAAGAGATCTTTTCCAGAAATTTTACCCAATGCAATATTTTGATTGATTTCTTCACTATTGCTTCCATGGGTTATGGCTGTGGATCCAAGTAAAGTGAAATTTGTGACAATTTCAAAATTTTCTCCATTTATCAAAATATTCCTTATTGGTCTAATGATGAGGATTTTTGTTTTCGTATTTTGAGGTTTAATCCATACTGAAGCCATATCTTCATCAGTAAGTGCTTCAATTCTCTTCACTTTCAGCAAGCAAGACTGTGTCATCTGCATATTAATGGTGTTGGTGGTGTTGGTTATGTGCAGTGAAGTTGGTTCTGAGTCATAGCGACCCTGTACAGGGTCTCTGAGGCTGTAAATCTTTACGGGAGCAGGAAGCCTCATCTTTCTCCCACAGAACAGCTGATAGTTTCGAACTACAGGTTGTTAATGAGTCTTCCTCCAATCCCGATGCCACCATCTTCTTCATATAGATCAACTTCTTAGATTATTTGCTCAGCGTATGGATTGAATAAGTATGGCAAAAACATACAATGCTAGCAGACACCTTTCCTGATTTTAAAGCACACAATAACACCTTATTCTGTTTGAATGACTGCCTCTTGGTCTGTGTGCAGTTTCTGCATGAGCACAAATAAATGTTCTGGAATTCCTATTCTTTGCAATGTTATCCTTAATTTGTTATGATCCACACAGTCAAATGCCTTTGCACAGTCAATAAAACACAGGCAAACATCTTTCTGATATCCTTTGCTTTTAGTCAAGATCCATCTGATATCAGCAATGATATCCCTCGTTCCAAGTCCTCTTCTAAATCTGGCTTGAATTTCTCATAGCTCCAAGTGGATTTACTGCTGCTACCATTTTTTTAATGATCTTCAGTAAAATTTCACTTGTGTGTGATATTAAGGATATTTTTCAATAACGTCTGCATTATTTTGGATCATCTTTCTTTGGAATGGGCCCAAATATAAATCTCTTTCAGTTAGTTGGCCAGGTAGTTACCTTCAAATTTCTTGTCACAGATAAATAAACACTTATAATGTTGTATTCATTTGTTGAAACATCTCAGTTGATAGTCTGTCACTTCCTGTAGCTTTAATTTTTTACCAATACCTTCAGTGCAGCTTGCACGCCTTCCTTCAATACCATCTGTTCTCAATCGGATGCTACCTCCTGAAATGGCTGACTCAAATCTTTTGGGTACAGTGACTGTGTATTCCTTCTGTTTTCTTTTAATGCTTCCTACACCATTCAATATTTTGCTCAGGGAATCCTTCCATATTTCAACTCAAGGCTTGCATGTTTTTTTCTTCGTTTCTCTCAGGTTGAGAAAAAACAAGCATTTGGTTTCATTACTCCAGCAGCAGTGCGGGTCTTTCAAAGGAGAATCATTTCTTCATGACAGAGACCACAAATTGAGCCTCACTATATATAAATGTGGTACACTTGCTCTGCGGAGGGTTTTATATTTGTGATTTGTCCACGATACATTTTTTAATCTAATTTTAGATACAAATTCTGAATTTTATATTTTTAGAGAAAATGGGATAACTGGTTATCCTGAGCCTCATTTCTACATGGCAGTGGTGGGCCAAGAGGTCCTGGCAGCAGCCTCTCCATCTTGACGTTCTCACCCTGCTCTTCACTCAGTCAGTGATGAGCACCTCAAGCATCTGTGTTTGCAAATCCCAACTGGTCATCATTAGCTGCCGTAAAGTTGGCCTTCAATTCATGGAGACTCTATGCACAAGGGGATCAGATCATTGTGATCCATAAGGTGTTTGTTGACTAATTTTTGGAAGTCTGGAACCTGTTCAGCATCACAGCCAAACACAGATTCTTCTGACAGACAAGTGATAGCTGTGCTTAGGGTACACTGTCTAGGCATCAAACTTGGGTTTCCTGCATGTTGTTGTTGTTAAGTGCCGTTGAGTCGATTCTGACCATAGCGACCCTGTAAAGGGTTTCTGAGGAGGAGCTGGTGAGCTTGAGCCATGGACCTTGCAGTTCAAATGACTTTGCAGTCTGGAGCATTAACCCACAGCGCCACACCAGGCCTTCCACCACTGAATTATCATTGTCTCCATAAACCTGGCTTAAGGAGTCAACATTTTCTCACAAAGAAACTTGTACCTTGACCTCGGTCCTTGTATCCCAGACAGATTCAAAGTAGCTACTCTGTGTCTACCAAATTCTGTCCTGGATTTCTGTGATAAATTCAGAGGAAAGTTAAACTATTACATAAAGATAGAAAGATCCTAGCATCTATAAAGCTGTTTCTATCTCCTGGGTAATGGTTCATTTCAACCCTGTATAGAGAACCTTGGATCAGGTTATTCCTTTACTCCATTCCTCCTCTGTGACCCGATGCCTCCTCTGTGTGACAGTCTGCTAGCACCATACACCAGATGCTGCCTTTCAAACGGAAAGTTTGTCAGGATGCTGTCGTGTCCGTTAGTGTGAGTGTACCCTAATGTGAGTGTGAACTGATGGTGCTGGGGGATGTGAACATGCCTGCTGTGTAGTAGGTACTCAGTAAATGAGTTTTCTCCTGAACCCTAGTGACACAGTTGTTGAGCGGTCATTTGCTAACCAAAAGTTTGGCAATTAAAACCCATCAGCTGCTCTAAGTGAGATGTGGCAATTGACTTCCATAAGGTTTTACAGCCTTGGAAACTCTATGGGACAGTTTTATTTTGGGTCACTGAGTTCAAATTGAGTCATTGGCAACAGGATATAAAATTTCATTTTGAGTATCACAATCTACTGTCACACCTCCCACGTGTATGGGCCTGTCTATACCCTCGCTCACCTGCTGCATCAGGAAAGCAGCAGGATCGCTGATATTTACCCTCTTCGTGGGGACACTGGAAATCTTGTGTCATGAATGCCTAAAACCAAAAATCCCAATGTGTTGCCATTGAGTCGATTTCAACTCATAGTGGTCCTCTAGGACAGGGTAGAACCATTCCATAGGGTTTCCAAAGCTGCAGACTCTGTGGAAGCAAACTCTCCCTTTGAGTCGCTGGTGTGTTCAAACTGCCAACATTTATGTTAGCAGCCAAGCACTTTAACCACTGTAACAATGCCTACTTTTACAAATATGATTTTAGGAATGACATAATAGAGATCTAAATCAAATGACAGATCTCTCCCTTGGAATTCTTATGCTTTCAGGCTAAATTTCTATTTTACAAAGGTTTGGCTATGTTAAGAGCAACTCATTATTACAACATTCCTATTATTAGAGTTAGGATCACTATGTGTCGGAACTGACTCGATGGCACTTAACAACAACAAAACATTATCAGAATTGAATGAGCTCTAGAGCAGCTACAATGAAATTGTATTCACAAATTGTTCACTTACATTTTTGTATCTTGTCAAGAAACCCTTTGATGGTTCAGAGTAAGTCATGAGCCCTAGGAATATTCTTTTGGGATTGGGGTGGGGGAGTATAAATGGTTATGGGGTATCCTTCAGAATGTACTTTTCATCTCCCTGGAAACAATAGGAGCAGCCAGAAAGAAGCCTGTTTCCAAATGCACTCTGTTGCTACATTGTTTGCATTTGTTCTAGGGAAGAAGCACCTGTTTTTCTTTATTTTTTCTTGAAGTTTTCAAGGATCTTTCATATCAAGGTAGGAGATGTGCAATCATTACTTTAAGAACTCATCCCCAAGTTGTGCATCTTCAAGCGGCATGGTCGTTTGTGATGCCAGTCATCATCATTACCGCAGCATGATGGATTTAGAGAACTTGTGTCTTTGGAAATGCTCATAATCCTCCTGTGCATGTTTTTTTGTTTTTCTTTTTTTTTTTTCTAGTATAATAAAGTGTACAAGAACCTAAAGGAGTTTTCTCAGAATGGAGAGGATTTCTGCAAGCAGGTCACATCTGTTCTTCAGCAAAGGTACAAAATGCATGTTTGCTATAAGCACGTACTTCTAGTTGCACCAAGCAATGTGATTGGAGGAGTGATTACAGGCTGCCTTCCTTTCCAGAACATGCTGTTATATTTTGGTACATGCGAGATTGGTTTGCAGAGTGATTCTCCTCCATTGCACATTAATCACTTGAACAGCATAAAACTTGGAGTACAATAATTCTACTTGGAAGGATTCTATCAGGTCTTTTCTGGTTCCTCAGATTGAGTTGATTATTCCTTTCTGGTGAGCCACCGCTGTGCCTGAGGTAAATGCTTTTATTCCTTCTCACAACCGTAGCTCACTACCATGGCAATTATTAGTTGACATTTCTGTTTCTCCCAGTGTCTTCCTTATCTTTGTGTGCTGAACTTTTAGAGCTTGGCCCTTCTTATTTCTTCAGTTAATGTCTCATGCTGAATGTATGGATGAGTCCTCATTTTAAGTATCATCTTTTCCTGATCATGTATAAAGTGGTTTCTTTGTACATTAAAAAAAGTTACAGAAATGTCTGCTCAAAATGAAAGAGCACAAGGACTGAATGGACTGCGAGGGATCTTTTCAGTCATTTCCCTACTTACTCCTAAACACATTTGTCACCCATTCCTCTAAAGAGAGATTCAGAAAAGATTGCTCGTTCCTGTTAGGATAACCCATTCGTATTTAAATACTGTATGTGTGCCAGAAGAACAAACAGGTTGTTTGCATGCTGCATTCATAGGTCAAAAGCAGAAGACAATATTAGTTTTATTAGGACCAGTGAATGAGGCCAAGAAAAGATACAGAGGAGATCAAATAACCTTTTTATAAAGAAAGTAATTGAATCCATCCAATGAAGCCAAAAAAAGAGGAAATTTTTTAATGTGAATTTTTTTCCTAACAGCTAACTTGCCATGATTTCAAAGAGAGAAAGGAAGAAAACCAATCTGGTAGATAATACTTTCTGTAAGATTTCTGTAAGTTTCATTTTCCATGGGACTTAGATCAGTCTCAAAGGAAGCGATCTAAAATGTTGTTGTTGTTGTTAAGTGCCATCGAGTTGGTCTGACCCATAGCAACCCTGAACAGGGTTTCCAAAGCTATAAATCTTTACGGGAGCAGAAAGCCACATCTTTCTCCCATGGAACAGCGGGTAGTTTCGAACTGCTAACCTTGCAGTTCACAGCTCAATTCATAACCACTACACGATAGAAGTTAACAGTTGTAGCAGTCCAGTCATTTTCTGGATAAGAAAGCATCTCCCTCCTATAGTTCAGATAGAACGTGCACAGGTAGAGGCTACATAGTACAGACAAGGCCTGAGTTCCAGTTCTGTGGGTCTCAAGTGCTTGTTCTCTTAGTGCTGGATCCTGCATGTGTGTGTTCAGAATCAGTGCCTGGTGTAGAGCTGTGAAGATAGAAGGCAGGTGACTTGAAAATGCCTGCTGGCAAATGGACTCACAGCGAAGACCATAAATTCGGTTGTCACTGCTTGAAAATTGTCCCCTTGCATTTCCTTAATTTCAGATCAAGTCACATCTCCACCCCACCACAGTCCTATTTACTTTGCTTGTACAGTAGATTCTTTATTACTTTCCCTGTGGTTTTATTTTTTGGGGGAGGGGGGTTAAGCAAGCAAAGTTTAATGTATACAAACATACAGAAAGTCCAGGGATTGTGTGTTCTCTAAAGACTCCACTTCCCCGAGGGGACAGGGAAAGGGAGAGTACAGAGATTTGGTGCATGGGGTCCCAAAAGGCATTTCAGGAACTTCCTTGGTGCTCTGTTTATCTCGGGTCATGCTGACACACTCCAAAGATGTTTTCTCCAACAGGTATGGTTTTCCTTTATTCTGGTCATACTGGTTGTGTGCGACTGAGTCAGTTGTAACTCATAACAACCCTGCGTAGAGTTTCTGAGGCTGTAAATCTTTATGAGAGCAGAGAACCTCATCATTCTCCCTCAGAGCAATTGGTAGATTCAAACTGCTGACCTTGTAGTTCATAGCCCAGCTCATAATCCACTACGCTACCAGTGCTCATGAGTATTCAGAATATTTCCTCGTACTCCTGAGGAACCTGTACATAAACCAACAGGCAGTCATACAAACAGAACAAGGGGACATTGAATGGTTTAAAATTAGGAAAAGTGTGTGCCAAAGTTGTATTCTTTCACCATACTTATTCCATCTGTATTCTGAACACATGATCCCAGTAGCTGGAGCGAGAGATATCATTGCTGATATCTGATGAATCTTGGCTAAAAGCAGAGAATACCAGAAGGATGTTTACCTGTGCTTTATTGACTACGCAAAGGCTTTCGATTGTATGGATCATGACAAGCTATGGACTACATTGAGAAGTATGAGTATTCCAGAACACTTAATTGTACTTCTGAGAAATCTGTACCTAGACCAAGAAGCAGTTGTTCGATAGAACATGGGATCACTGAATGTTTTAAAATTGGGAAAGGTGTGAGACAGGGTTGTATTCTTTCACCATACTTATTCAACCTGTATGCTGAGCAAATAAAACGAGAAGCTGGGTTCTATGAAGAAAAATGTGGCGTCAGGATTGGAGGAAGACTCATTAACAACCTGCGATATGCAGATGATACAACCTTGATCGCTGAAAGTGAAGAGGACTTGAAACATTTACTTATGAAGATCAAAGAACACAGTCTTCGATATGGATTACATCTCAATGTCAAGAAAACAAAAATCCTCACCACTGGACCAATAAACAACATTCTTAACAATGGAGAAAAGATTGAAATTGTCAAGGACTGCATTCTTCTTGGATCAACTATCAACACTCGCGGAAACAGCAGTCAAGAGATCAGACTATGTATTGCACTGGGCAAATCTGCTGCACAGGAACTTTTTAAAGTATTGAAGAGCAGAGATGTCAGCTTGAGGACTAAGGTGCACCTGACCCAGGCCATTGTGTTTTCAATAGCCTCATATGAATGTGAAAGCTGGACAGTGAATAAGAAAGATCATAGAAGAATTGATGCCTTTGAGTTGTGGTGTTGGAGGAGAATACTGAAAGTGCCATGGACTACCAAAAGAACCAATAGATCTGTTTTGGAAGAAGTGCAGCCAGAGTGCTCCTTGGAGGCCAGGATGGCTAAGCTTCATCTCTCATACTTTGGACATAATGTCTGGAGGAAACAATCATTGGAGAAGGATGTCATGCTGGGTAAGGTGGAGGGTCAGAGAAAAAGAGGAAGACCTCTAACGAGATGGATTGGCCAGGTGGCATCATTGATGGACTCAAGTGTGGCAATGGTAGTGAGGTTGGCCCAGGATGGTACATTGTTTCGTTCTGCTGTGCATGGGGTCGCTATGAGTCGGTTCTGACTCGATGGCACCTGACAACAACAACAGTGAGGGAGAAAACACTTGGGTAGCTAAAGATACCTATCTTCATGGCTTTACCTCCTTACAGAGCAGACTTTATAATTTGAATATACAAAGGATACTGCTAGATAGCAAAATTATTTATATATCCCTGGAATAAAAACGGCGTAATGTATACAAAAGAGGAATCTGATATTTTTCCTAACCCCAGGGGAGAGGGAAGCTAGATATTAGGTTGTTAATGCAATAGTTGCAATAGTAACATTTTAAAATCTAATCTAGTACAATTAAATAATTTCCTCCTTAATTAGGATGCCATTTCTAAACTGCTTTATATTTATTCTTGGTAAATCTTCGTCTGCTGTGTCCTCAAACTTGACCTTTATGAGAGCTTTGCTCTCCTTGTTCAGCTTTTAGATCAAGTAGTTAACCTGAAGGATGTTTGCTAGTACCAAAAACATCGGTATTTGGGGAGAACTGTTCTTTAATAGACACAAAGTCAGCAGGGCTACGATGTAGAAAAGCATTGGTCAGCACAATGAAAAATAGAGTAAGGGAACACCAAAACTGAATAAGGATGGGTATCTTTGAATTAGGTTTCTGAGTGATGCAAAGTTGATTTCGACTCATGGCAACTCCATGGGTATCAGAATAGAACTGTGCTCCATATAGTTTTCAGTGATTTATTTTTCAGAAGGAGATAACCAGACATATCTTCCAACGTACTTCTGGGTGAAGTTGAACTTACAGCCTTTTGGTTAGCAGCCCAGGAACACCAATGGACACAAAGGACTGTTAATCTGACTGTACAGTATGTTGTATTTTCTTAGACTGCATTCCTACGTGTCAGTTAAGACTGAGGCTGCCTCATATTACCAGGATTGGGTTATGTCTTTCCCATGGGGAGCAATTTTGAAGTTACTTCCTCTCCATACTGCGTTTGAACTGAGTTGACATAGTAACTATATTTCTAAGGATATTTGGTCACAGTGTAGCTGGGAATACATTCTCCCTTACCCTCCACTTTCTGTGAATTCAGCAATTACTTCCGGGATATGAAAAAGATAGACAGTTGTCTCCCACCAACTGTCCAGACATGAGCCAGGGCTTATTTTCCTCTTATTACAAATGAATTAATGCTACCTTTTCCTTTGCATAGAAAATATCTGGAAAGCTAGTACCCTTTAAAAGATACTATCTTATTGCCTAGGGCTATAACATAACAGGAAACTCTGTAAGGCGAGTACATTGGTATTCTGGGAAGACATGTAGTAGGCATTATCACTGAAGTTTATGATGTTGAAAATCACTGGTCAACACAATGACAAATAGAGTAACAGAGCACAAATACAGAATAAGGGTGGTCATCTTTGAATTAAGTAGCTAGGTGATGCAAATACTTTATGTTTGACTGTTATTCAAAAGGTTGGTGCCTTCAATCCACCCAGCAGTACTGTGGAAGAAGGACTGAATACTCTGCTTCCCTAAAAAAGTAGCCAAAAACCTTACAGAGTAACTCAACCCTGTAACACACAAAGTGGCGTGAGTCAGCATTTCATTCCTTGGAAATACCTTTGAATTAGGAGTGTCTGGTACATAAAAAGAGCCGTGGTGGTTCTCTAGGATAAGCACTGGATTGCTAACCAC